GGTTAATTACTGGAAGGTGGCGGTTCCGGCCGAAAGGCGCCCGGGCTGTTTCTTTACACCCGTCGCCCTGATACCTTAGGTGAATTCACGGGATTGCTATATTGTACGTCAAAAAGGGTCAGCCCTTAGCAGGTTCATGTATGTCACCTGATAACCACTGACCATGCCCCTTTCACTGTAGGGTCGTTAGGTGATAGGTGGGATGGCTGCTAAGAGGCCCTTTGTGTGGACAGTTGTCACATGCCCATGGCTACCCACCTTCTGAAAGCTCCTCTCCTTACAGGGTGTAAAGCGAGACTTGCTTCTTACCCCCAAGTGCATGTACTTAATTGGACGAGAAAAGGTCAAACAGGGCCCAGACAAAGGCCTGGTGAAAGAAGTCCTGAAGCGGAGGATCGAGATGGAGAGGATCCTGTCTGTGTCCCTCAGGTGAGTGGGGACAGGGCAGAGGCAGTGGGGACAGGCTGCCCCGTTGCACCTCAACATTGCCATCTGCTGTTTCAAAGACAGCCAGAAGAAAGGCCGGGTTGGGCTCCCTGGTGGTTGAAATTATGATGAAGGGAATAGAATTTCTCTGTTTCCCAACTCCCTAACCTCAGGAAGTCCTCATGTGACAGGGAAAAAGATACAAGAAAAAGGTGCCTTCTGATCAGCTCCTCTAATCAAAGGATACTCTAGCCATTATTCTAATGAAAGTCTAGCAATTAGCATTGTCTGTAAAACAAAACAGAGAGGAGCTGCTCCTATTGAAGTGGAGTTAAGGGTACAGATCCCTGTCCCCCAGCCTGCCTCACCCAGTTTGAAAATGCAACCCACTTCGCCAACAAAGGCCAATTGATAGAAGTTTCTTTGAAGTTTCTTTTTTTTTTTGAGAGGCTTTTTTTACTATAGGGCGCGTGCGCTTGCCAGACAGACTGAGAGACAAAAAGTGAGAAATCACCCCCCAGGGGGGATAGCCACGCTGCAATCCCTTCTCCTCCGTTCTCCTCTCAGGATCTTGGGCATGCACGCACACGCGCCCGGCGTGAATTTTAAGCCACCGGGTCCGGGACGTGAACCAGGTCAACTGCATGGGAGTCCAGCGACTAGCCATTACGCTAACTGCTGGTCCCCGATAGAAGTTTATTTGACTCTTTCTTTGATCTCCATAATCTCTCGCCCTAGAATTGCGGTTCAAGTCCCGGATCTGACAGCTTAAACTCACGCCAGGCGATGTGTGTGTGTGCCCAAGATCCCGGGAGGAGAAGGGACTGCGGCGTGGCCATCCCCCCTGGGGGATGATTTCTGACTTTCTGTCTCTCTGTCTCTCTGTCTGGCGAGCGCACATGCCCTATAGCAAAAACTATTTCTAAAAAAAAAATAATAATCGAGATGTTCCAGTCATGCAGTCCTCTGTTCCTGGAATCGAGACATCTCTCTAAACTCTTACTCCACACAGGAGGCGAGACCGACAGCAGCACTCGGGGGAGCAGGGCTCTCGTGTGCTCAGGCGTCTGACCTACCAGGCTGGAAACCCTGGCTCCGCTGTGATCATCAGAAGCAGATTCCTGGTTGCGGCCATTCTTGCCTGTATCTCTGTGGTTTCTGGTTCTCACTGCTCCTAATTTTCCTGGCTGAAGGGCCAGGCAGTGCGGCGAGGCTAAGCGTTGAGAACATGCCAGCAGGTTGTAGCACTGCTGAGCGGATGAGTCCGTCCCCCTCGGGGGTCTCCTGGCCGTGCATTTCAAGGCGCAGCTCTGAGTGCTGCCTGGGTTCCAGACGTCTTCCTGGACATTTGGCTGGGTCACCACCTGGGCTGGGTAACCTGCTGGCCACACGCTTCCGGCCAGCTGGGCCCTGAGACCACCCTTGGAGACCCAAGGAACCCAAGTGGAAGCCACTGCCGCCTTTTATTTTCTGTCCCCCCTTGCAGGGGGCCCTGCGGTGCTGGGGCTAGGCCAGGTTGGCTGGAAAGCGCTGTGTACCCCTAATAGTAGCTGTAGATCAAAGCCGTAAGCAAGGGCCGTGTGGGCGTTACCGGAGAGTGGCGATTGCTCTTCCTGTTGTTAGTGCCCAGGTCGTCCTCAGCCCTCAACCCCCAGCCCCCTGGAGGAGTGAGCTCAGGGGGACCAGGATAAGTAACCCCGACGTAAATACATTTGTTTTGTGCACTTGACAGATTCGCTGATCAAGCCCTTGAGGCTTATTCAACAGGTTTGTTCATATTCTGATTTCTTCCTCCTTTTTTCTCTTTAAACTTTTTTCCCTTCCCTCACAGCTGTGGTAAAAACAAACACACAAACAAAAAAAACAGCTGCTTTTTATGTCGCTGGACTCCCATGTAGTCGACCGCGGTTCGCGTCCTGGACCGGGTGGCTTAAAACTCACACCGGGCACGTATGCGTGCGTGCCAAGAGCCCGAGAGGAGAATGGAGGAGAAGGGATTGCAGCGTGACCATCCCCTCTGGGGGGTGATTTCTCGCTTTCTGTCTCTCTGTCTCTCTCTGTCTGGCGAGCGCGCACACGCCCTATAGCAAAAACCTCTCAAAAAGCAGCTGCTTTTTCTTCTTCCTCTTCATGGCCTGGTGCTTTGCTTCCTTGTGGCCTGTGCCACTTAGAGAATTTCATAGAATGAGGTGATTAGCTTAAAGGTTTTTTGCGCTCTAAGGGGAAGAAAAGAGCCTGAGACATCTTAACTTACGACACCAGCGTATCGTAGCTCCCGAGCCGCACACTCACCAAGATGAATAATTTCCCATTTCCGTTCCACGTTGGGTTAATAGAAACCAAGTTAGGAAAGCAACCAGAGGGCTGAGGCGTGTGCAGAATCGAGCCCAGAGGAGAGCTTCCTGGTGGTGCTAGCTTGCCGGTTGTGCATGTGTTCTTGGAATACTTCAGTACTGGCATAAAGAAAGATTTTAAGGGACCAGCAGTTAGCGTAATGGCTATGTCGCTGGACTCCCACGTAGTCGACCGCAGTTCGCGTCCTGGACCCGGTGGCTTAAAACTCATGCCGGGCGCGTGTGCATGCGTGCCCAAGATCCGGAGAGGAGAATGGAAGAGAAGGCATTGCGGCGTGACCATCCCCACAGGGGGTGATTTCTCGCTTTCTGTCTCTCTGTCTCTCTGTCTGTCTGGCGAGTGCACGCGCCCTATAGCAAAATAAAAAAAGAAAAGAATGCTTTTAATAATTGTTGGGACCAGCAGTTAGCATAAGGGCTATGTCGCTGGACTCCCATGTAGTCAACCATGGTTCGAGTCCCCCGAACACGGTGGCTTAAACTCACGCCAGGCGCATGTGTGTGCGTGCCCAAGATCCAAGAGGAGAATGGAGAAGGGATTGTGTCATGGTCATCCCCCTTGGGGGAGTGATTTCTCGCTTTTGATATCTCTCTGTCTCTCTGGCGAGCACACGTGCCCTATAGCAAACAAAAAAATAAATAAAACTCTCCAAAAAAAAAAAAAAAAGATTTTAACAATTGTCTTAAACTTCAGGAAAATAGTTGCAGTAGCTACATCTTTATAACTCCCTAGCTGAATGTCGGCTGGAACGACATTAGCTCACGACCTCCTCTAGGTGAGATGATCTCCCTGTCCCACGCGCTTGAGCTCATCTCTGACTCGTAGCTAACAGCAACACAAAGCGGCTTCACAGCTCCCTAGTTCAACGCGAATGACCCAGCGCGGCAGTGCTGGCATGCGCTGTCGAGATGCTGTGCTCCGCAGGCTGGGACCACATGGGAGACCCAGGTTCGATTCTTGGCTCCACCTCAAGGCCAGCACAGTGAGATGTGCCTGCAGTCCAATGACCCAGGAGTCCGAGGGAGGAGGGCCACAACACCAAGAACCTGTCTTAAAAATATATTAAATAGGGTACAGCAGATGACATGGTGGTTAAGGTGCTGCACTCCCACATGGTTGACCGTGGTTTGAGTCCCAGAGCCAGTGACTTGAAACTCGAACCAGGCACGTGGGCGTGTGTGCCAAAAATCTTGAGAGGAGATTGGAGGTAAAGGATTGTGTCATGACCATTGCCCTCACCCCCTGCCGGGGGAGTGATTTCTCACTTTCTGTCTCTCTCTCTCTGGTGAATGCTCACGCCCTATAGCAAAAATCTTTCCAATAAATCAATAAATAAACCCAAACCAATGGAAGCAACGAGGGAAATTTGAGCATGATTAAATATTTGACATGAATGATATGTTGTTCATTTCTTTTTTTTGGTGGGGGGGGAGAGGCTTTTGCTATAGGGCACGTGTACTTGCCAGAGAGAGACAGAGAGACAGAAAGTGAGAAATCACCCCCCAGGGGGGATGGCCATGCCACAATCCCTTCCCCTCCATTCTCCTCTCGAGATCTTGGGCACACACGCACACGCACCTGGCATGATGTTAAGTCACCGGGTCTAGGACTTGAACTGCAGTCAACTACATGGGAGTCCAGCAACATAGCCATTATGCCAACTGCTGGTCCCCCTGTGGTTCATTTCTTCAGGCGTGAGAATGTTGTTGTCATTTTTCTACTCAGAGATTTTATCTATTAGTGATATACACTGAAATATTTTAGGATAAAATAATTTGTGTATACTTTGCTTTAAAATAACCTAGCTTGGGACCAGCAGTTAGCGTAATGGCTATGTCGCTGGACTTCCACGTAGTCGACTGCGGGTCGAGTCCCGAACCCGGTGGGTTGAACTCCAGC